CATTGATTTCTGGATTTCTGTCAAATAGTCAAAGTTGTGAAGAAGTTAAAAATTACTACATTATGTGGTGGGCCGCCTTATTATATAAAATCTTGAAGAAAAAATAATCTTCAGAATGTTCTGAAAGTGTGTTGAGTGTTGATGAGACAAAGAGAACTCGTACAAGCTGAATACTCCAATTAAAAATAATTAGTAATATTTAATTACTCTTTAAGGTAATTTGGCAAACACACCAGTGAGTGGGTGTGCAATATTCCTTTACAATCCACTCTGGCACAGCTTGCTGACAATTTTGTGTTATTCACAGCCTGATTCTTGTTTTTTGATTGGAAAGTTTTGTCACTGACATCAGTGGGAAAAGCAGTGAGCTTGTGGGGCAGCTGACCTCTATTTTAAATGAAATAATAACAACAATAACAACAATGATAGTAATAATAACGATGATGATAACAATTATAATGAATTAATGACAATAGTAATTTTATTTTTAAATTCTCTCCCTGAGTTCTGAAGCTGTGCACCCTGTGAGGAACTGGCTTGATATGAAGAGGCGAGTTGGGGCCTACAGGAGGTGCTACTTCTTCTCTCACTGTGCCATCCCAGGAGAGCCCCTGATTGTCCTGCACGTGGCCCTCACCAGTGACATCTCCAGCAGCATCCAGGTGCAGCCCCTGAGGCATTCAGTGCACAGCCAAGTGCTCAGATTGCAGTGTGCTTATTTAAAAATCCACAATTCTCAATAATTTCGCAATATTTGCTTTTGTTTCTTCTTATAAGAGATGAGAGAATTAGCTTGTAAAAATTACAGGGATATTTTGTCTGCCTTGTGTATTATTTAAATTGAAATTTTGAGGGTTTGCTCAAGAGTAAGAAGAATAATAAAAGATAAGAAATACATAGAGAAAATGAGACTAAAATTTCAAAGTGGTTGCAATTACTTCTGAAAACTTTAAACTATATTACAGTTTTCTCTGCACTTACTAATGAATAAGCAGCTCTTCCTAGGTTTTTATCAGATTTTTATTGTTAATGAATAAAACAGTGGGGAAAAGTGTTAATGCCTTTAAAAAGAAAAACCTCTCCATAATGCTGATAATACCTATTATTAAATTTTTTTTATTTTTAATCCTGATTTTCCCAGGCCATAGTGAAAGAAGTGCCACCTCCAGAGACAGAAGATCCAGAGAAAATCACAACAGCAATTTTCTACTCCATCAGTTTGACTCAGCAGGGCCTGCAGGGGGTGGAACTTGGCACTCACCTCATCAAAAGAGTTGTCAAGGAGCTGCAGGTGGGTGTGCCAGGGGGGCTCAGGGTCTGCTTGCCCAGCATGGTTTGGTTCCCAATTTGTGTCACTGCTCAGCCCTGGAGCTGCTGGGGCTTCCCTGCACTTGGAACTTCCTCCCTGAGCAGCCTTTGGAGGTGTGGGGAGCTGGAACAGCATTTCCTGAAGGGCATTTCCTGGAACAGCATTTCCTGCTCTTGCTTGATGTCTGCCAGGTGTAGATCCTGTTCCTGACATGGTCAGTGTGAATTCCTTGTGTGATTCCTGAAGTTAAATGAGAACATTTCTGTTGGTGACAAAGCTCTGTTATGCTCTGATACAATCCAGTTGCCTCTCAGTTGACAGGTAAGAGCCTGATCAAGACATTCTCTCTTCAAAGTATCTGACAGTGCCTTTTCCAAAATCTTACAGCTGCTCCAGGAGCAGATACATTCCTATTTATTAATTAGCTCATTATTTTGTTTGTTATATTGAATTGCCACTGGTTATTTATGCAGTGTGCAGGCATGCCCTGAATACGTCTGCTGGGAAAAATAAAAAAGAGAGAGATTTCTTTGCCCTGGTATGTCTTGCAGTATAGTAAAGAAAATGCCTTAAAGTCTAAAGAATCTTTTACTCTCTGCCAGTCAGTTCTGTTAATTTAGATAATATCACTGCAGGCTGAGGGATTATTGTTAATAGCTTTAGTACTTGGAGAGCCTTCCAAGCAACTGGAGAAAGGAATGAAAATTCATGTACAGAGTGGTGTGAGAGCCAATCACATCCCTGCACTGAGCACATGATTTTATTTAATAGTTGTTACTACTTAAATTGCTGACAAATCCACCACTTAAAAGTAATGATCACTACTTGTGTTTGTATTCATTGTTTCACATCTGGATTAGTAACCATGTCTGGAAAACTGTCTGTGATTTAGAACTTCAGTTCTACTTACAAAAACATCTCAAAATTGGATGCTCCAAACTTCTACTGCCAGAAAGTGATAGATTATTTAATTGCTGAATCATAGCTGCCCTGAAGTTTTGGGGATTTTTTTTTTTAATGGCTATTTTGGCTGAATTTTGTTGCATCTTGCTTTTGGAATGTTTTTTAGATTAATTGTTGAAAATGCAGTAGTCCAGGTATAATTAGGCCATGCCATCTGTCTGATCTTGACTGAGGGGAAATTGGAATAAATTCATGCAGTTATCTGCTTTCACATCTGAAAAATAATGTCTGGATAATTGAGTTGCTCTCATAAAATAACCCAATTGACATTGTATCTGTCCATCACTAATTGCTTGCAACACCAGCAAAATTTTGACTTCTAAAGGCAAACAGACTCATCATGCTTACATAACCTAATGCAGGTTTTAAAATTCAGTGTGTCCAACAAAAGTGTGGTTTGTATTTCTACTTATGGCAAAGTTTTTACATTTCAGTGTTTGAAACCCAGCCCTTCTTCAGTGTTCATCACAGGAAACCCTTTGCTGAGATGCCTTTAAATACATTTTAATCATCAAATTAATCCCTCAGTCTTAAATAACTTGAAAACTTGAGTGCTTTCCATGCAGTGCCAAAGGTGGAGATCTTCCTCCCTACCCAAATTTCCTGTGAAAAACCTGCTGGTAAGAAATTGTTGTGTGACAAATTGGACAGGGACTGAGGTGTTTGAGTGTGCACACATTAAAGGTACAACAAGCTCTGTGCATTGCCCTGCACCACTCCTGTTTGGGAGGGAGCCACCCTGGGGCTAAAGAAAATAGAAAGGATAATCCAGCAATATTTATCCATTGGGGATGTGGCTCTCTAATAGTTTTTGCTTCATGTTTGATGTTCATATTTTTCTCTCTTCTGTTCTTCCCACCCCTTCACACTTTCTCCGCCTTCATTCCAAAGTGTTGTCCTCGAGTTTGTCTCAAATGGTGCAAGAACCATTTCCCACTGCACATTTTACATCTGTGAAGTGACCCTAAATAATTTTCCTGTTGTTGCCACAATGGTTTGATGCTCTTCCACAAGGCCTCCTCATCCAGCTTCAGCTGCAAACATTGTGCCTCCCATCCCATGGGACCTCACCCCTCAGAGGAGAGAGAACTTCTGTATTTCAGCTTCAAAACACTTCCAGTGTGGAATTTCTACAAAGTCAGGGCTGTCCAGGCCAAAGGCAGGGCATGCAGTGAGTAAATACTCTTGGCAGCCTGTTTTATCTGGCTCCCAAAATTCTGGAAGTCCTTTTCAGTGGATTAATTGCACACATGTGCTCTCTTTCTCTCTGCTCAGGTGCAGCAAAGGACTTGCCAAGGTTGTCTCTATTCAGGTTGGACAAAATTGTTGGGAGCAGAATTACAGGAGGGACAAATGGTGCACGGGAGTGCTGAGTGGACTTGGTGACAGCAGCTGTGACAATCCAGCCTCAGCAAAAAAGTCCAGGGTCAAAAATTACATCTCATTAAGGCAGTGTCCAGCAGCCTGTGTAAAAATAGATGGGTGAGGTCTCTGATAGGAGAAGGATGTTTTATATCACCTTTGCATGGCTTTGCAATAAACAAATCTGTTTTTCAAGTGCTGCTAAATCACCGAGTGTTCCAGGCTACAGAAGCTGAGACTCTCTCTAATTTAACTGGTAATAAAATGCATTGGGAGGAGGAGACCATTTGAAAAGGTTGAAGATTTTGTTTTTCATTTTATTTAAATTGATGATTAGGACATTTTTGTAAGTTGCCATTTGAACTAACTTTTGTGAACATCTGTTTGATCTGCACAATTCTGTTTGAGTTGTGTTGTCCCAAGGTGCTGCAGGCTCTCAAAACTTCTTTTATCCTCCAGTAAAAATCCTTTACCTGACTTCTACCTTAATGTAACCTGCTCTGACACTTCTACTTGTGAGTGCCCCTGTAACCTCCAGACTGAAATCCCAGCTGTCATTCTTCATGAGGAAAACTCCAAATTGGGCCTGTCATGAATGTGCATCATTAGGTCAGGAAAAGACATGGACAAAGTTAGGAGTGTGCTGAGAACCCCTCTGCATCAAAGCCTTCATCTGACAGGATTTCAGAAAACTCTACTGAAACCTTGATCTAAACTAGGAAATAATGGCTGTAAATCCAGTTACTACCATAGTCCTTAATATCTCATTAATACACAATTAAAATGGAATTTAATTTTTTAGAAATCTTGCTAATTTGCCTGAGCTGGTCACTGCTAAGCATGAGCATGTGTGGGGCAGCACTTGGTGCCAAGCACTGATTCCCTCCTGAAAGCATTCCTTGAAAATGGATTTTTCTTAGGATTATTGGGAAAACTGGTGGGGATTTCACACCTCCACTGTTGGTTTGAGGCACTGTGTACAAATGAGTGGCTGCTGCTTTTGGGCCTCAGGAATTTAAGCAGATGGAGGATGGATGAAGTTGAGGCACAAAATGGGGTCCTCATTTTCCCCTTTGTGAACAGTTTGCAGTTGGAATCCTTAACTTTTACCTGGATATTAAGATTTGGCATTTGCCCCAGGAATTGTTCTGTATAATTGGGTAAAGGGTGGAATATTCTGGAGATCAGAACTGGACCTGGTGTCACCTACAAGGGACATCCTGTGCTGCTTCAGGAGCAGATTATTCAGTTTTTGGCAGTTTCTTGACAAAAGTTTGCCACACAGATCATATAGAAGGGGTTTATGTACAGGCTTCTGTTGTTCCTGATCATATCCTGTTGGGATTACTTTGGGATGAATTCATTAGGCCACTGAGACCACTTTGATCCCAGTTGTCCCTGTACAAATCTGGGAATGGGCTGTGCAGGCATTCTGTGCAGTCTCTTGTTTATATTAATGTATATAAAGCAGGGAGCAGGCAGCAAAAATGATCTCTTGTATTTCTGAAATTGAAGCTTGTGTTGTTCCCAGAAATGAATTGGATTTGGAAACTATTTCAGACAACTACAAAAAAGCAAACAAAGCCCAAATGGAGTGCAGGCAGATCATTTCTAGCAGGCTGATAGGTGCTGGTGAACGAGGAGGTGGATGCATTTCTCATTAGCCAGACATTTAATTCCCCATGTGTTTATGGCACTCTGAGCAGTCTGTGGCTCTGCAGAAGGTACATCGTGGCAATTCAGTCAGCAGATGACAGACACAGATAACTGTGCTGAAGCCTTTGAGAAAACTGCTTAGGATTTTATAGCCTGTGGCATTTGAGGGAGAAAACTGATAGCTGCTGTGTGACTCAATAGAAGGCTCAACAATTGGTGGCAGATTTTAGCTTTCTGCTTGGGCTGTTGATAATTGCTACCTTAATTTGATCTAGGTGACCTGGGGAGATCATAATTTCCAAACCAGGCTTTGATTTCATTGATGAAAAATGTGACCTTGGACTGCAGCTTTCAGAGTGCAAAGACAGTTTCAGATGAGATAGGGATAATGGGGGAAATCTGTGCTCTTCTGCAAGGAAAGGAAAAAGCAAACAACAACAAAAAGCAACAATCAGACACAGAAATCTACCCCGAACCAAAACTAGCAGCTGTTTCTTAATGATGTGTGGGTTGCTGACAGACAAGTAAACATTAATGGATCTCCACCAATAGCCTTAGAAACCAGCACATCAATTTAGCAAAACATAAATATTCCCACTCCAGTGCATTTATTTATTTTTCCACTAGAAATGGATGCCTCAGATAAGCTTCTGAATAAAGCTTTTATCAGATATGTAATAGTTGGTGCTGTCACTTCAAAATGGGGTCACTTCCCCATGTCTTATCTGTCCTGAGAAGTAAAAACCCACAATTTCCCATTTGGTGTTTTTAATAGTGAATGAGCTACCAAGCTGTGAAGTGTTTGGGGTGAGCAGGTCACTCCTGAAGGGGGGATGGCCAAGGAGCAGGCAATGCCCCAGGAATCCCTGTCACTGTTTCATCAGGAACTTTGCAGAGGTTGCTATTAGCACAGAGAGAGGGGAGGAAATAATTCATTGTCCCTTTTGTCATGTGGGTGGTGCACAGGTGCCCTGGGGCTCTGCAGGCTGATGGGGTTGGGGTTGGTACCATGGAAGGATCAGGGTGCTGAGCTCCTGAGGGAGAGCCCTGGCAGCTCTGCTCAGGAGCAAACAGCAGTGGGAGAGATGGCTGTAAAGGAACTTTTTAAATTTTATAAAATGCACATGCAATGGTTGGATTTCACAGATGGTGTTAAAGACATCAGCTTTGGAATTGCTCTTAAAAATAAAATATCATCATGTCTTTCAGTGGAAACCTGAAAAAAGTTTCTATTTCTTTACTAGAATTTCACTGTCTGAGTGTGGCAGTTGCAGCAATTGTGAGCATGACCCAGTCACGATCTCCTGGGAGCTCTGATGACAAAAATGCTGTTTTGTTCAAAAAGATACAGAAATAAGTGTTTTTAAGAAATAATTTGCTTGGTTTTCTCTATCTGCTTCTCTAAGGAGATGAAATGAGGTGTTCCTTTGATAAG